GGAGCAAAAATCGTTTTGTGAATGGTCCATTAAATCACCGTTAAAAACCAACTCTTGAAGCCAGTGTCTGTAGTATTTAGTTTATTGATATTAAGAGAGTCACGTAGTATCACAACAAGTTCTTAACTAAATCATGAACTATATGGTATACTTTGTAATGTATCACTTGTAATGCAATTAAGTTTTATCCTTCGACCGATTCCTAAAGATCGTCTTTGAAAAGCAATTTCATTATATTTGTTATTTCCTAGGTAGTCCCTGTCATACTTTATGTGATGATGTTATGTGTCGATATCTCCTTAATGTCTTTTTGAAGGTCTGTTTTTCACCAGTCGGTCACTAAGAACGTCTTTTGTCTGTCTGTATTGATAACTTGCACCTGTTTCAATGATATCTAATACTTTCATCCTGGAAAAATAATAATCAATTAAAAAATGTCTAATTGTGCCACAAATCAATAATATTAATATTGACAAAAATAATATGGTTTTTGTTCCATGAAATTTCGCTAATGATATATGTAAAAGCAGGTTTGAGTATAGTACATATTTTTACTAATCACGTGTCATTTGAAGGAAATATATCAACCTTACGATCCTAATGTTGCAATCAATTTGCCTGTTGGAAATAATACGGTCACATATATCCTCAAATATCCAACATTGGTTGTACACCTCTTTTCTCCGTTCCAGGAAAAGGACGATACAGAGAGGAGGGAACCCATTGGTTTCATCTTGATCAAGGACGAACTAGAAAAGGCCCCCATGCTTACCAGGCTGCGGTATATTTAGAAGAAACGACGGAAGAAGATCACAGCCTGAGAGTTCTCGAAAACTCTTACCTTTATCATGATCAATTTCAAGAGGCGTTTCCCCATGCTATGGTACTTGAGGATGAGGAAAAAGAAGAAGAGTTCTTTCCTTTAGAGCAAGAATGGGTCGCCTGGTACAAAGAGCAGGGGTGTACAGAGAAAATAATCACCGTTCCAAAGGGGGGAATGGTAATATGGGATTCGCGTACAGTCCACGATGCTGTTAGACCAAAACGAGGTCGGATTCATTCCGATAGGTGGCGCTTTGTCGTGTTTGTTTGCATGGCGCCAGCTATTTGGGCTGCTGATGAAGACTACAAGACGAAGCAATTTGCATACGATAATTTTCGCAGTACTGCCCACTGGCCTGCGCAGAAAAATATCGTATTCAGGTCAACGGATGGAAATCCGTTCACAAAGAACCGTCGCCATATCTACGCCGTGGACACTATGCCAGATATCGCAAAAACGAGAGAAGCGAAGCTGTTGGCTGGGTTAGAAAGTTACGATTTTAATGATGGCGCTCCGAATGACCCTGGCTGGAGACCTAAGTGGGACTCGTCATCTGTTTACTACCAAAGGTACAGCGATGTGGAAGCGTGATGTTAAAGTGACAGGAAACACGACATTTAATGTTGTAATAGAGACTGGTCGAGATGCTTGATCAATTTAGAGGTGGCTTATTTTAAGCTTCTAGCTGTCCGCGAAATGTCAAGAACATAATGCTGTCGCTCGAGAAAAATTAATTTGATGCAGGGAAATAGTTTTATGTGATTGGACTTTGTTCAATAAATATCAATGATGTGATCTTTTGGAAAAATCTCCATTTTATCTTAGGGAATGTAGGCTTGTGAACAATAAGTCTCTTTATTGTCACGTAGACTTCTGCTCGCCAGTTGATTTCTCAATATTCACATGTTTGCCATAAGTTTAATATGTACAAGATCTGCCAACCACAATATTCTGACATAGGTTACAAATACAACGATATTGTATCCAACCTTTTCATCAGAATTAAGGAACAAATTACTAAACTTTCAAGCTGCAGAAAACAAACAGAATTAAATGAGTACAGCATCGTGCACATACATTCTTTTTCATAATCGTGCTTTTACCAAACAAAACAAATGTATTTTTACTGCACTAGTTTGCATTAAAATGATATTAGCACCGAGATCAACACGATTTACTTTCTAAAAGTTGAAATTTATGAGAAGTACAATCACTGCATACCTTCAAAGCAGTAATACCCCTGTGATTTCACCGTTACTCCAAGCCCATTTCATCCAAACTTTTCAACTAGAAACAAACGCTGCAACAACTGAATGCAAGTGACTTTAGAACTAGTCCTCCGTCAGTTTGTCACCTTTATTTGTAACTGTGGTCTATCTGCGCACATAGTAACTGGTTATTTAAGCATTATTCAAAATGTTAAGCTTCGAGAGCTTTTCTTGAAGGGTCCTAAATATCATGAAACCCCTTCTGTTAATTGGAAAAGGAATTTCAAGATACTTATGGACATTTATAATAACTATGCCAGAGAATGGGTGAAACGAGAACATGCTGTGTTGGATTCACTTTCTGAGGGGTTAAATACATTCGATACAGCAGCTCGAAATTAAAAAAAGGAACACACACACACACGCACCCTCACACATCCTCACACACACACACACACCCTCACAAACACTCACACACGCACCCTCACACATCCTCACACACACACACACACACACCCTCACAAACACTCACACACACACCGTCACATACACAACATACACACACGCACACACACACGTACACACACACACAGCGTTCCTCGTTCAGATAAGATAGATTAGAGCAAAACAAAAAATTAAACTGTGTGTGTGTGTATATATATATAGGTGATGTTATTTCGGCCGAGATACATTGTGTTTCGTATGCTTACCACTTATAAAGCTTATATAAGAAAAAAAAAATAAGATATGAACAACATTGGAGAATACATACCCGGGTAGTTAAATGTTGTATTCCTTACTAACCAAAGATATTTCCTCAAGAGGGTCAGTGAAATTTGTACCTGTAAAACTTAAAGACACACGTGAATAGCGCCCTTCAATTAAAAAGAATTGACAGCTACAAATAATGAAGTTGTTTCAAGTGGTTCGTCCTTTTAGGACTCGTCATTGATACTGAAATTGTAAGCTGACATCTAGGGTGAGACTGCAGAAAAAACATTGACCTAAAACGATATCAAAATGCAGATGGGAAGGTGCAGTAGCCCGATAAATAAATCTTGTAATTTTCAAAAACATTATAACTTTAGAAGTATGGAGGGTTTAAAAGGGCGTTAAGTCCAATTAATTTTGATTTTTTATAAATGATTTAATTTTCAAAAACATTATAACTTTAGAAGTATGGAGGGTTTAAAAGGGCGTTAAGTCCAATTAATTTTGATTTTTTATAAATGATTTAATTTGAATTACTATTTCCTTAGCTTTTACTTTTCTGAATGAACACGTTAATTGCATATTTTGTTTGTTTCAATGATTTTTTTCATTCTTTTTCAAATGTAAATTGTTATAAATTTTATATATACATATATATTCTTCAGAGTTAGTCCGTTTTTTCTTTCTCAGCTTTAGAACTTAAACCATTTTTCTACTTTGGTCGTTGTATTTAGTTATTTTTTCTTTCTGTGTGTTTTATGTAATGTGTTTTCATGAGTGTTGCAGTTTAGAGAGCAAATTCATGTTAATATTCCTACGTCTCTGTTCTTTAGATCTGGTAACAATTAGTTTGTTTTATCTTCTCATGACGTTTAATTTCTGTTGAGTTAATGTTTAAAAATAAAATAATGAATAAATAATAAAAATAATGTTAAAAATATTACACGGACAATAATGAATTCAAATAACTTTAACGAACCTATTAGACATAGCAATAATATATATCTTTTGTCTAACATCTTCGTGTTAGTCTTTCTTTTACTTATATCTTGCCCTTGTTTCATCCACCTAGAGATCGAAAAATATGAAGAGGCAACTGAGCGTGTCGCGGGCTCCAGATCTACGTGGGTCACACGGGAGGCGCTGTTCACAGATTTTTTTTCTAGAACTGCGCCACCCAAACCTTAAATGCACCTTGCTGTTAATAGGAGTTAATGAAACAATATATCAAACAAAAATGTGAAGGAGACACGAAACATTTTGGACTAACGAGCTGTAAGCTTTTATTTAGGCATCGTCAAGTAGCACTTCGCAACTTTTGTATTGAACTTACATCTTAAACAACAATTGCTTATCTCGATCTTTTCCTACACCGAAACCAACATAGACAGTTTCCCTCCTATTGTAAATTTTCCATTTCTGGATAGTAATATCTCTGAATCCTCAACCTATGGTGTCGCAGTTCATTCGATATTCGAGGGCCTGTTCCCATTATCACGATTTTCGTGCAAGAAGTCATCATCTGACAGACAAACTCATAACACAAAGTTTCAAAAGGTGCAACTTGATTAAAGTTATGGTGATGTTTTATTGTCGCCATAATGATCTCATTGTGAAAATTTCTTTGTGCGATATGAAGCTGGACGTGTTTGTTGCTCGTTAGCTTGTCTGTTGATTCCGTTGATGTATACATTGTTTTCATCTGAGAGCGTGACATTAATTACTTTGAATGACCAAGGGTGTTATCGTGACGCAGAAGATGCTTGCTCTTCCGGAACACCAGGTTTTATTCTCCTTGTACTTTTTCAGGAGATTCTGTGTAACTCTTTCTTTTGTTCATATTTTGCCCTAGTTTTATGAAACTTGAGTTTGGATTATGATTATGTTGACATGTTGGTATTTTTCTTGATTTTTTCTTTCTTTTTTGTATTACCAAGCATGTTATTAATGAGGCAATAAGCTGTTTTTTCAAACGTTTCAAATTCTTATCTGTTCGTTTTCCTATCACAAAACGAGTCAAAAGGTAGACCATGTGCGTTTTTTTCGTAAATGTTTTATTTTGAAAATTGCAGATGAGTTTATTTTACACATGCATCAAAGATTAGTTATCTATCATTTATCAAATACATAGCTATGCAGATTGTGAATATCACAGGTAGATACTAATAGTATTGCATAATAAAGTCAATTTGAAATCATAGATAATACTACTTCCGTGTTGCTGTTCTGTGAAAGGCGCTTCTGAATTATAAGTCACCATGGATCAGACTGTTCTAGACAGGTAAAATATAGTTATAAGATAGGTGGAATATATTCCTTTGTCACAGGTAGGAATTGATCTGACGTCACCAAGGACCTGATTGTCCTAGACAGGTAGGACATATTTGTTCTGTTAAGGATAGGGAATGACGTGACGTTACCATGTCCCTGACTGTCCTAGAAAATTGGAAACTTTTGCACCGGGATAGATTGCCACCCCATTAACGTTTATTTTTCTTTTGAAGGGATGCTTTATCACATGATCTTGAAACAAAAGGTTACTCCGTGGTTCCGAATGTGGTGACAAAGGAAGAATGTGACGTCTACACCCAACAGTACAAGGACTGGATGGCCAAGTTTGGGGGCGACGCCCCCTTCAGTCACGACTCTCTGATGCAGTTCTATAGAGTCGGCCATTTTGATGCTACATGGAGGGTGCGACTGAAAGCCAAACCAGTCTTTGCTTCTCTTTGGAAGACAGAGAAACTTCTAAGTAGCATGGACGGGATAGCAATCGGGATACCACCAGAACACGGTAATTAAAAACTTAGATTATCTGAACGAAAGATTTCACAAAATTTGAATTCGGAGTAGGTTATGGTTGGTCACAAATTGAATAAGTGGAAAGCTAACATGAACAATTTTCAAGAGGAATTAAGCTATGTGTCATCTAAAAAGTTTCATTTTCTCAACTTCATATCATCTCAAACAATGATAGTTTAAAAGTATTGTGACGTTTTCTATGAGAGAACTGTGGCAGAAGATAACGAAACTACTAGGAGTAGTTATTTCTATTGATACAATGCAGCCAATTATTTTCCGCGGGAAGAATATTTTCTCTATTTCGCAGTACATTAACGTGATCGCGAAAATATAATACATTTTTTACGTAAAATAATGAGACAAGTGTGCTATAGATGTCTTTCAAGTCCAGATCGCTGAAATTTATTTTGTTAAAATATGATTCCATCTTTTCAAACGAAAATCGTGAATTTTTTACCCGTGAAAATTATCAGCTGGACAGTATATGATATAACACCATAATGTGATAAATTTCTTGCTTCACTATCGAATCAACAGTGAATTAGAAACGCTGTGTGTGGTGAAATTTATGTTACCGTCAATAACGAAATTTCGCAAGAAACCAAAGAAACAGAAATCGCCATGATACTGTTTCTAGTTAACAGGAGAAACAAGCTTTGAGACTTCCTAAAGCTATTTCAAACCTTTTCATACAGATAGCCACAATCCTCCTATAACTCGCCAATCTATTAAGAAGTCTGTTGTAGCTAACACCGTACTTTTAAATCAGAAATACCCCTGTTGTTTCCTTAAGTTACTCTAAGTCAATTTTATTCAAATTTTTTCAACTACAAACAAACGCTGCAACAACTGACCCATTTGTTGTTGTTTTTTTTGTTTTCTGTTTTTGTTTTTTTTGTGTGTGTGTGTGGTTCTTTTTTTTTCTTCGTCATGTCAGTTGAATATCTCCTTTCGATCCTTTCAAATCGTCAAGCTCGTTTATATTGACCTTTTTCGAACATTACTTGTTTACTAACTAACCGGGGCAGATCGCTTTGTGGATGGTCCAATATAAACCAATACATATAGCCAGGGACAATATTGTATGAGTGGAATCACAACACGTTACCTAAACCCTAAACTAGACAGCAGACATCGTAATGTACCACACGTAATGCAAAGAGCTTTTATCCATTGACCAATTCCTAAAGGCAGCATCTCATCTTCAAACAGACTCCATTTTATTCTTAGTTGTCCCAATAATTTTCTCTCTTTGTGGATCACATAGTCCTCCTTAATGTCTTTTCGTTTTAGGAGGTCTTTTCCACCAGCCGACCTCTGACAGCTGATATCTGTCTGTATATATGGTTTCCGCCTTCCAATGATAACTTTAATAATTCTGTCCTCAGGAAAAAAACAATAACTGTCAAAGCAATTTCAGGGACGTATCATACAGTATTATACGTCCCTGGTAATTTATTGCACCAATGTTCATTTTTCTTAAATTTGACAAAAGAATGTGATTTTTGTTGACATATGTCAACGCAGGTTTTTGTATAAACATATCTAAGGATGAGTTGTCATTCGCAGAAAAACGTATCAATCAATACTTACGTTGTCGATGAATGGCATTTCAAATTATTTCAAAACTTGATCAGCAACAGTTTATCGTTACATTTTCCTCATTTCCTTCAATCCAGGAATAGGACAATACAGAGACGAATGGACAAATTGGTTTCATCTTGACCAACGACGAGCTAGAAAAGGGCTCCATGTTTACCAGGCAGATGTATACTTAGAGGAAACGACCGAGGAAGATCACAGCCTAAGAGTTCTCGAAAACTCTCATCTTTATCATGATACATTCCAGGAGGTTTTCCATGACGCGCTGGTACTTGAGGACGAGGAAAATGGAGAAGAGTTCTTTATCTTTAAGCAAGAATGGGTCGCCTGGTACAAAGAGCAGGGGTGTACAGAGAAAATAATCACCGTCCCAAAGGGGGGAATGGTAATATGGGATTCGCGCACAGTCCACGATGCTGTTAGACCAAAACGAGGTAGGATTCATTCCGATAGGTGGCGCTTTGTCGTGTTTGTTTGTATGGCGCCAGCTATTTGGGCTGCTGATGAAGATTACAAGACAAAACAATTTGCATACGATAATTTTCTCTGTACAGCCCACTGGCCTGCACAGAAAAGTATCGTTTTCAAATCAACCGAAGAAAGTCCGTTCACAAAGAACCGTCGCCATATCTACGCTGTGGACACTATGCCAGATATCGCAAAAACGAGAGAAGCGAAATTGTTGGCTGGGTTAGAACGTTACGATTTCAATGATGGCGCTCCGAATGACCCTGGCTGGAGACCTAAGTGGGACTCGTCATCTGTTTACTACCAAAGGTACAGCAGTATACGACATTTGATGTTATTATAGAACCACATTTGTAGTTCTAGATGTCTGATCGGTGTGGCGACGAACAATTTGAAACTTTAAGCTAATCAGGAAAGTTCCAGAACATTTTCCACTCACTCGGAAAAAAATAATTTGAAGAATGAAAAATATTATTTGTGTTTGTTCTTTTCTTCAATTAACAGCAACGATGTCATCGTTTGTGATCAATCTGCATTTTCTCCTCGGGAATGAAGGATTGCGATTAATAACTCTCTTCCATTTTGTCGTCACTTAGAATGCTTATCGTCAGTGGATTTGTCCATTTCCACACGTTTGATATCGAGTGAAGAAGGATATATGCAGTGTACAAAATCTGTCGACTATGATATTCAGACAATACGTTACAGACAAAAAGATATTTTATTCCACCTTTCAATCTGATGGGAACCGATGACAAGAGTTGGAAGTTGTTGGAAACGAACTGGGTTTTTTTTTTAAATACGTCATCATGCTAATTCATCTTTTCTTATCGTTCTTTTATTTTTAAAAAATGTGATATATGCAGATTTTTTTTTCATTAGAATTATATCAGCATCAAGATCAAAATGGCTTCCTTTCTTCAACTAGAAATTTGGGAGAGCTGCAATCACACAGCATTTGGCGTTTTTGACCTTGAATATCAGTTTCGAACTGGCTGTGTTATAGTGTATGTGTTAGCTTGTAACTACACTGTACTTGGCTGGCTATCAACTTCAGCATTATGTCACCGTGTGATGCTCAGTCCTATTTCCAGTACATTATACATCACAATAAAGACCATGTTTACAAATAAACATCAGATTTGTATTTTTGTAAGGCTCATTTTTCGTTATTTAAGAAAAAATCGAGGACACTTCGTGTATAAATAATATGGAACTCAAGAAATCCACTTATATGAAAAACACGTCATTTTTTCGTGAACATATGAATTCGTGGATTAAGTGTACCCGATAAATCAGTGAAAATAAATCCTCAACGAAAATTATTTTAAAGTAGCAGAAAATATATAAACCGCGAGTAAATTTCTATAAAACCAAAAAAGATTTAAAGAAAAAATAGCCTTGTTTTGATTTTGTTGTAAAACTGCATATTTCGTAAACAGAGCAGTCCAAAAATGTTTCAAGACGGAGCAAGATGCTGAATATCTTATCAGTTGGGACACTAAAATATTATAGGTCACAAATAAAATGTACTTACTATCTGGAAACGATAAAGTAACATTTTTTATTGGAAAATACCCACTCACGTTTGTCATGAAGCTTGGTTAGAGAAAAGCTGATGATCGCGTTGTGGGTTATGACTTAGGAAAGCGCCTGATTGATGTAGAAGAATATCTTGAGAGAATAGGCAAGCGCCTGATTGATGTAGAAGAGTATCTTGAGAGAATAATTAAGAAATGCTTTTCCCCTTTTAACAACGTTTTGTTACTGATGTTTTAAATGATGTGCAGCGCATTATGTTAAATATTTGTTATAAAAATGCAGTTTATACGTCAGTGAACAACAAAAAGGAAAACAATTACATATTATCGTTATCACGTCTCTCCCTCCCTCCCTCCCTCCCTCCCTCTCTCTCTCTCTCTCTCTCTCTCTCTCTCTCTCTCTCTCTCTCTCTCTCTCTCTCTGTGTGTGAGAGAGAGAGTGAGAGAGAGAGAGAGAGAGAGAGAGAGAGAGAGAGAGAGAGAGAGAGAGAGAGAGAGAGAGAGAGAGGGTGCGCGTGTGCGTGTATGTGTTTCTTCCTTATATAAAGATTAACAAATACAGCCATACGAAATTAATGCTGAAGTATAAGATTTAAATTGAAACAATATACAATGCAAATTCATGTTAATGAATTACAAACTGAAAATATATCAACATAACATTTTTCATAATGTACTGAACCAGGGACCCTGACTGAACTATCCCGTACAATGTACATTTACTTCATTTCAACCACTGGTTATATGCACTTGTATTAGTGCATTTTAGTTTTTATGACTAAAAGTATAAAGTTAAAACGTGTGCATATATTTAACTTTAAAAAGGTTAACAATTTCACAACTTGATATACAGGCTTCTTTCCGGCTTTAAAGACACCGCTATGCGATTTATTTATTATACAAACCAATATGGCGGCGCCCATGAATTCACATTTGTGATTCCTTTTAAGAGGAAATCTTTTGCTAAAATACGATGACAGAAATAAGAGTAACGCCTCTAGGTAAATAATTCACGAATTTTCAATTCTATTGCTGTTGGTTTGTTAATAGTTTTTTTTTCAGAATCCAAGGATGTTCCTAACGTGTAATATATCTAGTAATGAGCTAAATAGCCAGGCCCCAGTTGCGCAAAGCTTTGAATCGACAAGTGGTCAGTAAGCTTTTTCAATTGCTGCCACAGAAGAAATGAAAAGTTACACTTACACTCAATAAAATCCCTATGACCTGCCTCAACTAGTGTCAATAAATCTTTACGACTGGAATGTAATGCAATCATATTGGGGGAAAAAAAGAGAAAAAAAGTTATCAGTTAATGGATGTGAATTAACACTAGATATCACGTATTGGATGACACCCGTAGTTTTCAAACATTTAACAGACCTGAATTATTAGTCTGAAAATTCTGACCAGTCTGAAAACTTATATATATCATAACATTCAGATGTGAATTTAAATTTATGACATGACAGTAAAGACAATAAAGATTTAGTGATAATAATAAATGGAGGTTAATTCATTTTGAAATTTTTTTTTTTGAAATTTAATATAAAATGAAAGTACATGTGTCAAGGTTCCTAGATATTATCAACACAGCAAAGTCTAAAAGCTAGCTTTTGTGACTGTATGTTTGAGTGCCATGTCTACATGTATGAACAAATGTTAAGTTGAGCAACATCAAGTGGATGAACAGTACTATATGCAGGGTGACTGCCTCATTGTGCTCCAGGCGCACGTTCCACATATACTGATTAGTGTGTATCTCATGATTAAATGACATTATTTAAATGCCATAGACACATAAAGTATATTGATAATAATTTGAATTTTCTTTTCTTTTCAGGTGCTGGACAGGGTATGTAGAAAATCAGCATGATCCATGATGAACATTGACAAGGCCATAAATAAACTTTGTCATAATGGTTAAGATGTACTATACTTATTAAAAATTGATATTTCTTACAATACCATTGTGCTAAATATATCCTTTGTCACATAGCTGACAGTTGGTAGAGGCTTGGATTAATTATCATGTCAGAGACTTGGATTTGATTCCTGTTGAGGCACTTGGCAGGAATTTGTATTTTCTCTGCTCTTCAACAGTTAGAAAGGGAGAAATTATCTGTTTCTATAACAAAAATAATGACATGATTACTGGTATCCTTATCCTTGCATAAACATTTTTATTGTGGTATACCAGTGCATGTTCTCACACCCCCTCCCCCCTCCCCACCCTTATCCTTATGTTAACATTTTTATTGTGGTATACCAGTGCATGTTCTCGCACCCTCTTCCCCCTCCGCACCCTTATCCTTGCATAAACATTTTTATTGTGGTATACCAGTGCATGTTCTCGCACCCCTCCCCCCTCCCCACCCTTATCCTTGCATAAGCATTTTTATTGTGGTATACCAGTGCATGTTCTCACACCTCCTCCCCCATCCCCACCCTTATCCTTGCATAAGCATTTTTATTGTGGCATACCAGTGCATGTTCTTGCACCCTCTCCCCAATCCCCACCCTTATCCTTGCATAAGCATTTTTATTGTGGCATACCAGTGCATGTTCTCGCACCCCCTCCCCCCTCCCCACCCTTATCCTTGCATAAACATTTTTATTGTGGTATACCAGTGCATGTTCTCACACCTCCTCCCCCCTCCCCACCCTTATCCTTATGTTAACATTTTTATTGTGGTTTACCAGTGCATGTTCTCGAACCTCCTCCCCCTTCCCCACCCTTATCCTTATGTTAACATTTTTATTGTGGTTTACCAGTGCATGTTCTCGCACCTCCTCCCCCCTCCCCACCCTTATCCCTACATAAACATTTTTGTTGTGGTTTACCAGTACATGTTCTCACACCTCCTCCCCCCTCCCCACTCTTATCCTTGCATAAACATTTTTGTTGTGGTTTACCAGTGCATGTTCTCACACCTCCTCCCCCCTCCCCACCCTTATCCCTACATAAACATTTTTGTTGTGGTTTACCAGTGCATGTTCTCACACCTCCTCCCCCCTCCCCACTCTTAGCCTTGCATAAACATTTTTATTGTGGTATACCAGTGCATGTTCTCACACCTCCTCCCCACCCATCCCAGTACAAATTAATTCAAGCAATTTTTATATGTTATATGTTATCTGTAAAGAGGGCCAGAAACATTTCTTTGTAAAATTAAAGTTAACATAAAAGTTACATTACAGAAGTCACTTTATCAGTTTTGGTTTTTGGAATTTTTCTTCATATTAATTCATGTAGTAGAGTTTCCACCTATAAAGCCTGAGATTGAGAGGTCAGTAATTCAAGCATTAGTGGGTAGTAGAACATGGTTTTATTATATTTTTTTTCCTATTACGTGCTACTGTTGACCCTTTGAAGAATAGAGGCTATCAAGAGAGTGAGAGGTTTACTTGAAGATATCAAACCTGACTTGTGGTTTGTGGAAGTTGCCGAGTACAGGTTGCCTTACTAGTTGTGAGTTGTGAGTCAATTGGATGAGTGTCCACAACATGTCTTTCCTGTTACAGATTCCTTACATCTATACTTTATTTCAGATGTGGGCCGGAGCTGTATTCTGCTTTCCATTGGTGGTAAAAATGTCATGTTGGATTGTGGAATGCATATGGGATACAATGACGAGGTAGGTCTAATGTGTGATATACAGGGAAAGCAGTCCTTGTTTATTTGTAGAAGTTTAGAGCACAAGTCATTTTACAAGCCTTGTCTAGTAGGAATTTTCCTTTAGTCAAGAATAATAGTGCTTGTCCTAAGATCGAAAGGGTAGAAAAAGTCAAACCCCAAAAGGAGGCAGCATGTTTTTCTTTACTCCTGATAACATAGGAACCAAATGTAATGTAATACTCAGAAGCGTACTTTTATAGCTGATAACACTAGACCCACGCTGATTGTATAATGTATCATAGTGTCTGGTGAAATTCTGTATATAGTGTGTTATTGTTACAGTGTGTCTGTTGATGACATCATCTAGATCTACTTTGACCAACTATGAAAATCTGAAAATGATTATACATGTAGTTCACTAAAATCTTTATAATAAAATTTCTCAGTTATAGTTGAACTCGCTGTCAAACTTGTCTGATAATTTTTTCGCTTGTGTTTGTTACAGCGACGGTTTCCTGATTTCACCTATATCACCAAAGAAGGCCGACTAACACAACACTTAGATTGTGTGATAATAAGGTAAGACTTAATGCATTTTGTTGTCTTCCATATGGTCAGGTGTTTCAACAATGTCTTCTATAAACTTCTGGCCTTGGTGTGTGTAATTCCCTCAAACTGACGAGCTTTCTAATTGAAAGATATACTCAACTCCAAAAAAACCCTCTGATTTTGCAGCTAAATTTGTTTGTTGCAACTGATGTGATTATTTGTTCTATGGTTGGATGCCTATATTTTTAGGGATGTTCAATAATTTATTAAAAAGTAATTCTGGAAAGAATGTTGAAAATAAATTGAAAGGCTTTGGAAATACGTCTCTGTTGTGCTAATGTTTTGAATTCCTTCAGCATAAATATCTTGTAAACAATAAGGAAACAAATTTGCCAGCAATATTCTTATCAAGTTAGTGCATTGGTCATGATTTTCCAGTGTTTTATTAATAAGCATAATATGACATATGACATAAGAGACGAAACTTCTTTCATGTTGTACTATAAAGCGAATACATTTGTCTTGATTTTCAGTCACTTTCACCTAGACCACTGTGGTGCACTACCCTACATGTCAGAGATGGTAGGATTTGATGGCCCCATATATATGACCCATCCAACCAAGGCTATTTGCCCTATACTGCTTGTGAGTACAAATTCAGTGTTGTATGCAGTCAAAACTTTGTTGATTTGAACTGGGATAACTATTGAAGTACTTTGACAGCTGCAGCAAAATCCTGTCTTAATCCTGGTAAGAAATCTGTGGAAAACTGAAATTTGGAAAACTCAAACAACTATGGTCCTTAAAATCAAAATCTTAGTTCAAAGTACATCCTAACCTAAAGTTCTAAATTTCAGCGGCGAATAACACATTTAACTTCCAATGAAGTGGATAGGTAAACTTTATTTATTTTACAACCATCACAAAACCAGCACTAGGCTTATTTTAATCACTCTTGTTAGTCTTAGAAGTGTGAGGATGGGCTTATTGTGAAAGGAAACCAGAGTACTCGGGGAAATCCCACGTTATCAGGCAGGTGATCCTTTGCATTTTTGCATTTGATAAATCGAACATTGGATGTCAAGATGAAAGGGAAGTGCATAACCACGTCAACACCTGACACTCGTTATACAGATCTTTTATATAAAGGAACTCCACAAAAGCATTGAAAAAGTACTTAATGACACTTTGTAACTGTCAAGGTTCATTGTCCTGTGCTCAATCACAAAAGTCTTCTTCTTTAGAACATGAAGAACTAGATCTGCTAAGATTAAAATTCAAACAGAAAGGCCATATATTTGGTCTAATTTGGAAAATAATGTGAGGAAATGGGGATAAGATTTTCATGTACTTTGGATTACAGTACTGTACATACTAAAAGTCTTGTCAATTCATCTCTATCACATACTTTATACATGTCAGTACTAATACATTACATTCGGTTCACTTTTGTCAATTGTTTGATGAAGATGACAATGTTCTTGTCTTAAAGTGATAGTGTACTGCTATTGTGTTTTTATATATTTAAAATCCCTTTAAAATTATAAAATAGCTACAACAAGAACGAACTCTGAAAAATAAATATTCATCGAGATATTTAACGTTGTTTGAAAAACACACCTGTACCGATTGAGCATTGACCCCGTTTTGAGTACACGCAGATCTGTGACGTCACAAGATGAACACGAATACCGCGGGTACGTTAGTCAGCCATATTTGTTTACATACAACTGGAGTGACCGAGCGATTATATTCCGTGTTTCACACATGAACTTCTTATTGCTTAAGATGTAAGAAATTCATTTCTTTATATGGCTGAAATAAAGATCTTAGAAGGAAAAATTTTGCCAACATTGTTAGATAACTGGCAAATGACAGCGATCAATTGGACTTGTTTTTCAGTATCTAAGATAGAATCTTGTTATTGTTTTCCTCTGATTTCCATGTTGTTTTCAGGAGGATTACAGAAAAATAACAGTGGAAAGAAAAGGAGAGACCAATTTTTTTACTTCTGAAATGATCAAAACCTGCATGAAAAAGGTGATTGCTGTCAACTTACATCAAACAATGCAAGTGAGTGTTACCTTCTGGACAAAGTTGTCTCCCTTTACATTTTACAATGGTTTGTTTTGTTTGATATCACAAACATTTACATCAAACAATGCAAGTGAGTGTTACCTTCTGGACAAAGTTGTCTCCCTTTACATTTTACAATGGTCTGTTTTGTTTGATATCACAAACATTTACATCAAACAATGCAAGTGAGTGTTACCTTCTGGACAAAGTTGTCTCCCTTTACATTTTACAATGGTCTGTTTTGTTTGATATCACAAACATTTACATCAAACAATGCAAGTGAGTGTTACCTTCTGGACAAAGTTGTCTCCCTTTACATTTTACAATGGTCTGTTTTGTTTGATATCACAAACATTTACATCAAACAATGCAAGTGAGTGTTACCTTCTGGACAAAGTTGTCTCCCTTTACATTTTACAATGGTCTGTTTTGTTTGATATCACAAACATTTACATCAAACAATGCAAAAATTCTAGTTGTCTCCCTTTACATTTTACAATGGTCTGTTTTGTTTGATATCACAAACATTTCTGAAAAATTCTAGATATCTGTAATATATGGGATTAAAAGGCAGCACATTCTGGAGAAGGTCATTTTCATTCCAGATTGTTTTAATGTTTGTAATTTTCAATTTGCTACCTATTCATACGAGGATGACAGCCTTTTTTGTGAATTAGATAATATCAAATTTCCTCCTGCTGTCACAAGATGAATGAAAACAGTCAGGGTAACTGTACAGTAAGATCATAGGGCTCAAATTTGATGGTTTTTCTGAATATCTTTTTTGATTTCATGGATAAATACTGCTCACAAGTCCTATAATGAATGTCAATATTTTTCTGTTCATCATTTTTGGGCCAAATAAATCCATGAATTGAGAGTATCCAGGATTTAAACAAAAAAAAAATTCCCCATGAAGTTCAATGATTTTAGAGTATTTTATTAGCATTATCAGAAATCTTTTTAACAACACTGTTGCATATATTGAAAATTAAATGATTATGTTACATGAATGGCGTATGAATTATTTGTTTTGAAATTTGTCAATTCTAATACAACAGGTCGATGACGAGATGGAAATCAAAGCCTACTACGCCGGCCATGTATTAGGAGCTGCCATGTTCCATATCAAAGTAGGACAGCAGTCTGTTGTGTATACAGTAAGTTTTCTGACCTAGGCAATAGTTGATGCTATGACCTTGCAAGGTCAATACAATAACATCACCAGAGAGATAGAATGGATTGGAAAGGCTATTCAAATCCTCAAAATGATTACCAGTAAGTCAATCTTAATGAATTTTTGTTTTTGTAAAAACCTTCTTTAAATGACTTCTTCTCAAGAACCAATGGATGGATTTTGACCAAACTTGGCACAAAGCATCCCCATAGGAAGCTGCTTCAGGTTTGCGAAGAAAAAGGGCGTAGCCCCAATAGGGGCCCCAGGAGGGGGGAAAAAGTGGGTAAAATTAGATTAATCTTTAAAAATCTTCTTTGCATGAGCCAACAGCCAAGATGGCCAACCTGGTCTCTGTTTGGCTCAGACATTTTGGACTTCCTCTCAAGAACCACTGGGTGGATCATGTTCAAACTTGGTACAGATGTTTTACACACGTTCCTGCACAAGTGTTGTTACATTTTTGCAACATTTTAAAATCCCCAGATTATTGACATATATTCCTTAGGTGACCGTTAAGGCCCCTTGGGCCTCTTGTTTAGGATAGACGAAGCTTTTTCCAAAATGAAATTTCGTTATAGGAAAATTGTAATTATGTTTAGGGTGACTACAACATGACTCCTGATCGACATCTAGGGGCAGCATGGATTGATAAGTGTCGTCCTGACTTACTGATCACAGAATCAACATACGCTACAACTATCCGTGATTCTAAAAGATGTAGGGAACGTGACTTCCTGAAGAAAGTCCACAATTGTGTGGAGAAAGGAGGGAAGGTGAGTATATGAACAAGAAGATGAGTAATGCATTAAATATTGTGATATTTAAAAGAAAATTGTATTGAAAACAAAAAAAAAAGAGAAAAAGCCAAAAAAAACCCATAATAAGAAAAATGAAAAACCAAAAAGACCTTAATCATTAATTTGTATTGATAATTTATGTGTACCTCAAATTGATCAAATTCATTGACACAGTCATGTGATTTTTAGGTCACCTGAGACAAAGTCATGTGACTAATTGAGATTGTCCATCATAAGCAATTCACATTTTCGATTTTTTTATAGCCACAATATAGATTTTGACAAAACTTGTCCAAAACCATCCTTAGAGAAAAAGGATTTAAAGTTGTTTGAATTATGTCACTATTTACGAGTGGGATGTGTCACTACTTCCCTGAGGGATGGGAATATGGGATGAAAAAGAGGTAAATTTGTAATTTCTTGAAAATCTTCTATCGTTTAAGAAATGAGGTTGAGATAATGAGTTGTCACCTAGAACCAAACAAACATCTACACGTATATCTTGTCAACCCATAGAAGCTTCAAATTAAGTTATAACTACATACAGAAGGATTGTGTACAATATACAAATGGCATTCATAGTGTGTATGAATGCAATATCATTGACATTATTTGTAGTTTACTTTATTGGGAATGATAGCTAAATCAGTTAGAGCATAGCCCTACATAACCTTGGGTGAATATCTGAGGTGTGTGGTTGAACAATCCCTATCCTTGGTGGTAAGTGTTTTTCAGGAAGCTGAGAGACGAACCTGTCTGGGATGATGACATGGTTGGGACCGTAGGCAAGACACTTTACCCTAATTGCTCTGAATGGTTTAAAATGGGCCTCCCATTCGTTGTTCAGTACGGTTGGCTGTTAAAAGGAGATCTCACCTCAAAATAAATCAACTGTTCTAGGGGCAATAAGTGCAGCCAATAACCAAACAGACTACTTAAATCACTGTGATGTTGTTTGTCTTTTCACATTTTCTCTGTTGTTATCAGGTGTTAATTCCTGTGTTTGCTTTGGGACGTGCTCAGGAGTTGTGTATCCTGTTGGAAACGTACTGGGATCGAATGAATCTCAAGGTGCCTGTCTACTTCTCCCTCGGACTTACAGAAAAGGCAAGTTCCTATGACCCAGATTTATGTTATAAAACTTTAACTTATGATAAGATTACAGTAAAACCCTACATCCTCGAACCCTCATATCTAAAACACCCTCTACTAGACCAACTGTTCATTCAGACCTGACTCTGTCCTTATAAATTGTTTGCTATTTAATGTCAGATTTCTCGAATATCCCACATTCATTTTTGTCCTCACCCCTTCATATCCATTGTATTTTTCCTCCATTTTTGTCAAACGAGTGTCACGTTCGTCAAAGTTTACCTGTGTCACAAATCACTGCATCTTATATCAAGGTACCTGTTCTGATTGTTTTATTGGTTCTTATAAATCTGTATGTGGAGAGCTTATTGGCTGTTTGAAAAGAAGTTCAGTTTTTGTTTAAAACCAAACCAAGGCACATATTTAGCAGAGGGTATGGATAACGAGCCAAAATGATTTTTCACATACATTTATCAATCCTTTTTATATAGCAGATGTGGTTAATAACTCAAAATACAATATTAACAACATGGAGTCAATATTTTATCATCATTTGAAACAGGTTTTCAGCATTCAACCATCATTCTCATTGACTCTGTATTAGCAGAATTATTATCATTCTGTGTTAAATTTTACCACTAAAAAATTCTATCCTGAGAAACAAATTTTATACATTTTTTGGCCGGGTAGCACATAGTGCAAATCCGGGTTATAGTATGGTGAGTGTTGGGTGGGTGGGCGGGGAAAGGGGTACCAGTTTTGTAGAACCAACTCCTCCTAGAGTTTTTGACTTGGAAGCTTGAGACTTTGTAGGATGTTTATATATATATATTGAAGATGTGCACCTCCTATTACGGATTCATTCTGGACATTTTTCTAGATTTTCCAGGCGTTGGAACTTAGTTATTTTCTAAAACTTTTCTTGTTATCACAGTTTCTCAGAAACTACTACAAGAATCTTCCCGAAATTCCACATATAAATCACCTTGGGGCCCTATATGTCAATTGTCTATTTTTTGAACATCTCAGAATCAAAAATGGCTGCAACTTCTTTCTTCAAATGCCCTTCTTCTGCACCAATTCATAAAATACAACCAAACTTTCTCTTTTATAACAAATATTCTACATACTCAACAAATGAAACACCCTTAATTGTCTTATAAATACCATACCAACATTGCACTCATCCCACAACCTGGCCAATTTTGACTTTGCCTCATTTTCATCAGTTTAATTCCAGATTGTAAAATTATCGGTTTGTCAAAACTTACGAACATAAACATGGCTGATCAAAGAAAGATTATTTAATATCTCATTCATGGACATTGGGTGTTCCTCAAATTTATTGACATGGTCCCAAGGAATTTGACACTTAGTGAGAGTCTACTGTAAATACCTCTCATAAAAATCATTGCTCATTTGTTTATGTGTATTTCTACAGTATGGGATGACACGAGAAATAAGTTCTATGCTTGGTAGGTGCTGGAGGAAATGCAGTCAATTTATTTTGTCAATATGGTCCCCTCGTTTCCTGTTGGAACACTGCATGAAATATCTTACATTTATTTCACTGAATCTTAAAGAATGATATCAGAGAATAGGGACAAATTATTGAATGCCTACAATTTTGTCCCAGTGTCCCCCCATTTGCATGATTTTATCTAGCAATCTTATATTTGTGGGTTTCATTTTTGATTCATCATTGTATCATGAATTTGATATAAAGGAAATAGATTACTAGTAACCGAATTGAAAGCATGACACATTGAAGCAAAAACCCCAAGAAGTAGGGTTATTAATGACGATATGTGTTTACTATCTTCAGGCAAATCACTACTACAAACTTTTTATTACGTGGACGAGTCAGAAGATTAAAAAGACATTTGTACAAAGAAACATGTTTGAATTCAAACATATAAAGGTAGGTTTTATAGTAACTGGCTGAGTGTTACAAGTACAGGTCAAGGTCACAGATAGAAGTGAACAACTGTCTAAGAAAACAGCATCTATATACGTTTCACTGTATAAGAAGTGAAGTTGAGACTGATGTATATGGGGAAATATCTGCCTATGTTTATTTTAGCCCTTACATGTTCAAGCTGTAAAATCATAAATACTTGTGGGGATTTTTCCTTGATTTATAGATAACCGTGAATTCATATGTCCATAAACTGTTGAAGTTAGTATAAGTAGACTTAATGAGCTATGTTTATCCACAAAATCAAATGTCCTCAAAAACTTGATTTTTTAAAAAACCAAGAAAATTTAGACCCACGAAAATATATGATATTACAGAATACAATATATTTTTACTTCAATAAAATACTTTAGCCGCGATTTTTTTTTACCCTATAGGAAAAAAATTGATTGTAGTGAATGTTTCCTGTATACAGTTCTCAGCAAGGTTCATATTAAAGTGGTAATCCTATTTTAGTGTTTTGATGTTGAAAGTATTACACTTAAATATGATTAGACTAATTGTCACTTCTGTGTATTGTTTTACAAAGCTATTATTTCTGATTTGCATATTCACATTGAACTTAACTATTTTCCAGGAAGCGATATTACGCTAAAATTAGGTTGCACTAAATTCAGTATATTTTGAGGAGTATCTTTTGGGTAAACAAGAGTCTTATGAATTTTATTTGATATGTAATTGATCTGGGTTTTATTTTGTGGTTCATGATTTTGTTTATTGTACAGTATTTTAAGAAAGAGGATTTATTCTGAGTGACATATTTTTAATTAACAGCCTTTTGATCGGGCCTACATTGACAATCCAGGACCAATGGTTGTGTTTGCTACACCTGGAATGTTGCATGCTGGACTTTCATTACAAATCTTTAGACGCTGGGCACCAAATGAAAAGAACATGGTTTGTATGGCTGGTACCCACTGAAATGAACCTCAGAGTTGATCTGTTAGTTTTCGTGAATCTTTCATACTTCTTACCTGTGTGCTCTGAAAGTCACATAGGTTTTGGTTTCAACACATTGATGCTGAAGAAAGTCTTCAGTCTTAAAAATTTGTCCTGATACAAACTCAAGCGTTCATTGTTTAATGGGGCCACAATGGCACAGCCAGTAGAGCGTTGACCTCTGCGACTTCAGGCGAAAAGTTTTTGGAATGTGCTTCAATGCTTGATTTCCAGAGTAATTTGTGTTCTTCCAGAATCAGAGTATCACACTGGTCTGTGTCCTCGGGCAAGACGCTTTATCCCAACTGGTCTGTATAGCATAGGGCAGGTCTTCCATATGTTGCTCAGTGACTACAAAGGGACTCACCTCAAAATTGCACTGTCTGTTTACAGGGCGAAATACCTAGCAATCAAATTATAGATGTTTAACTCAGGACTCTATGAGTTTGTGTTTTATAAGATAAATGTTTAGAAACTGTACACATTCATGTCCTATTTTTTTGTTTCATATTGTTCCATAGGTAATTATGCCTGGATACTGTGTGGCTGGAACCGTGGGACATAAAATCCTGAATGGCATTCGTAAACTGGAGATGGAGAACAAACAGATGGTGAGAGAGTAACTCAATAGGTTCTGTTTCAGTCATCAATGGTTCCATTAATTTTACACCTAATATGCCAAGTTCTAGAATCATATCATTCACACCTAGTTAGATGTTTTTAAACATCGTATTTCATTTCTGTGATAATCTTCTCTGAATTTGCATTTTATCCAATATTAAATGAATTCTTTTACTGGCCATGGCTATGGTTAAGGTTGCTTTCACTTAAATGGTTGAAACAGTCGATGTGGGTGAACCTGTAAGAGAAATGCCTGGTACAGATGGGGACTGAGACTGACCTGTGGAATATTTGGTGTGTGCAGTTTGAGGGTCCAATTGTACCTGTCCAAAACTAGCTTACTTAATGGAATGAGATTTCAGAATTTCAGCATTAAGCAGGGTCAATGCACCAACATATTTCTGATAATGTAATGCTATTTAGTTTCAGTCGTAATGGAAGATTCTTTATTTTTTGCTTGTTCTTTGTTTTATGTTTGACAGCAAATTCGGAAAATTTGCACATTGAACTTTTCATATACCTATCTCAATATCCGGTAAAGGTCCATTTGTTTATTACAGAAAAATTCTAGGGTGCCTGAACTGGGTTTTGCAAAAGCAGCTTAGGAATTTCATCAAAACTAATATGAAGTAATGTTAAGTTGTATTTTGAGAATCTTTTTTATCTCCCTTCCCTTGTGTTTCAGTTGGATGTAAAATTAGCTGTGGAGTACATGTCGTTCAGTGCTCATGCTGATGCTAAGGGAATCATGCAGCTTATTAGTCAGTGTGAACCACGTAATGTCCTGCTGGTTCATGGTGAAGCTGTCAAGATGGAATTCCTCAAGACAAAAATCAAACAAGAATTTAGTAAGTCTGGCTACATGTAGACTCTTTAATAAGTGTGTAGGTATCGCTAATGTTTTTCTATCAAAGTCTCTAATTTTGGTTTCTCAATGAGACGAAGTTTTTCACTTCCATAGGTGGTTAGGTGATGTAGTGATAACACACTTGTTTTTCACCTAGAGGTCTGAGGTTCTATTTCCTGAGTGGACATGGAAAGGTATGGGGTCACCTGCCTGACAGCACAAGTATTGAAGTATCCTCCCACAGTGAGACCCCTTACACGCTTTCATCCGAGCCAACAACAGTTATTATCGTCAGCTGATAGCTTGTTTCACAGTTGTTGTAATATGAAGTTATATTTTAATATAATATACATAAACTTTATGTATTTTACAACAATTGTGAAACAAGTTATGTCAACTTACACTAATCACACTTGTTGGCCTGGATGTAAGCGCGCGAGGGGTCTTATTGTGGAAGGAAACCGGAGTACCCAGGGGGAAAACCCACGTGGCCAGGCAGTTGACCCCTTACCTTTTCACGTCCATTCCGGGAATCGAACCCCAAAAGGCTAGGTTAAAGGTGAGTGCGTTACCACTGCGCCACCCGACCATGTATGTTCTGTTGTTTTATAATTAATGCATATAAATTTTTGTCTCTGTGCAATCATCCAGAATTTAAAGAATGGGAGATAGGGTGACCTCCATCTCCTTCAGTTAATTTACAAACGATAAGAATAATTGTAGGTTCCAGTGCTTAAGTATCATCATTAAGTCACCTGAGACAAAAATTCTGACCTGTTGCGATCACCTTTTATCCAGGGTCATGTGTTGTCTGTTCTAAACAAGTGACATTTTTCTCTTCTGTAGAACCCCTGGACCAATTTCAAAGAAATTTTGCATAAATCTTTTATGATCAGAGTTGAATCAAAATTGTGAATTAAATTGTCCCACTCCCCTCCTCCTGCCTGAATGATGGGTCCAAAAGCAGTTGAGTTGACTGAAGTTTAAAAAATTTTCTCAACAACTGGGTATGCTAGAATCAAATACACTTGATGTATGGAATGATCTTATTGTGCTTTACAGAAATGGTGAATTCTATAACCCAAAGGTGTCCCATTTCTCCCTTGGGAGATGATAGATTTTCTGTATAATTTGATAATAGTTTTTATCACTCCTTCTTTTCAATCATCATTCAAACAAAAATCGTCCGTACCATGTGTTTCCAAAGGAAAATATGCCTTTTGTTTTCTTCGAAGGTATCGACTGTTTTATGCCTGCCAATGGTGAAACTGCTGTGATGGACACAAAACACAATATACCTGTAGATATTTCCTTGTCGTTGTTAAAAAGGGAATCGTCTAAAGTTGGTAGGTATCATTGAATCATAGCTATTTGTGCAGTATAAGTTTACAACTCCAGATTTACATGAAAAAGTAGGGAGTTCAGGTTGCCTTGCTAGCCTTGGCTTGTGGGAGCTTTTGTTTGTTCAAGTGATAGAGTGACCGGCTAGAGTCTGAAGAGTCATCAGTTCGAACCCCAATTTGGCAGAATGATTTACATTATTTTTTTTTTATAACTATTTACATATGAGACAGCAAGACATCAAGTTCTGCATATAACCCATCAGAAAAATCAGACCTCTGATAAAAGGAAGCTTGTTGTGTTTGAATATATTTTCATCCTGTTTTCATCCATTTTTTAAATTTTTAATGTATCTGTCATATTTTGACCCAAGAGTGATTAATTATATCTCTTAGTATCCAAACTTTATTGCATAACACATAAAATTTTTGAGATTTTCTATCTTGCCCCCAAAATGGGGAATAATCACAATTGTGCTACATGTATACCAGGTATATGTAAAAGATATTTTAGTTTCATAAAGAAAGTGACCAACTTATTATTTTGCTTAATTGAACAAAAGATGGATTTAAGAAAAAAAATATAAATACCTTTGTTTATGAACACTTTTGTTTTGCTTTGCCTTGTAATTATATTGTTTACATGTATGTTTGTTTAAAGAACACCATATTAAATGAAAAGAGTTAAAAAAAAAAGAAAAATTAAAAATACTAATTCGGTTTAGAATTTGTAGATTGTCTTAACCATAGAATGAGAGAAAATTTTGACACATTGTCGGGGGAGTTATCTCCCATTTCTCTGCATGAAGATCAGTGCTGCTGGCTTACTGCTGGTTGTTTTTGTTTAGTAGTGGCAAGCATATTCATATTGCTGTTGTTATTATGCATAAGTAATTTGTACAAGCATACTGGGATACTGAACAGGATTTGTCAGATAGGGGAGAGGTAGATAGAGAAAATAAAGATGGCACAACCAGAGAAAAAACAAAGAAAATGTTTTCTCTCCATTGCCTATAGCTTGTTGATTGATGTATATGGTTTAAACTGCAAAACCAAAATTGCATGTCCAGGAATAACATTTAAAAAATAAATGTCATCACTTTTGGTCTGATTGACTTACTGACAACTACTTGCCTAATCATTTGAAATGTTCCTGCCAAGTTTTCATGGTGGTCTCGTGACTTGTGTACGCCTTTAGGTACTTATCAAACAATAATTACCATGTCAGTTGAATGGCTGGATTCATGTGCTAATACATTTTTTCTGCTACCAAAATACATTTTCTAAAATAACTGGGTAAAAATGTGATAATGGATGAAATAAAATATGAACAGAGTCTGAATGACAAATTTTGGCATTAAGATGAAACAGGACATGATTAAAGTGTCAATAAACACAGTATTTTCTAAAACCTGATAAAAGTAGGTTGACATTCAGGTCTGACTTAAATTTACACCTTCTACTAGAATGACTGATTGTTGGAAAAAATTGGAGATTTCATTGAAAGGGAAGAAACTCTTTTGGAACTGTAAACTAATTTAAAGTAGAATGAAAATATGGATAAATTTCATAGAAATTCTTGTACAATTAGGTCAATGAATTTAATTACTGCTTTATGGTAGTAGAAATTATTTTTGTCTGGCTAATCTGTAATCAGAACTTGCCAACGAGATGTCAGTCTTTTATCAGTATACAGCATATAAAGGCTTAGAGATAATTCAAATATGTTATGTTCAGCCTAGTGCTAAAAATAGTCTTCATTGGCAGTATGACCAGAGCTGTTCTCAAGTCACTTATGGATGTGTCAGCAAATATGAGGACATCACATTATGGGACATGCATTGCATGAATTTAAATATTTGATATCTGATGATCGGGTATATATATAACTGAAATTTTATTTAGTCATTTTGTATGAAGGGACAATATTCCAAAGAGCATTTACTTGTGTAACAACAGGTGAAAATCCCAGGCGTTTGGTTTAGTACTTCCTTTCTGTGGCGTTTTGTATTTCTCAGTAAGCTAATGAACAGACTAGCCTGTGCTGTCATGTCCTTGAGCATGGCATTTTACCTTGATTACTCTGGATGGCATGTAATGGGCCTCCCATATGTTGTTCAGTGAGGTTGCCACAGTCTACTACAAGGAAACCATGCCTCAAAATGACCCTTGTTAAAATAAAAACCAAATTTGCACATTACTATTTCTTTCACAGGTCTGCTTCCTCCTGATGCAAAGAGGCCGAGGGTTTTACACGGGGCTCTGGTGATGAAAGGCAGTGTAAGTTCACATTTTACTCAGAAGTCATAACCTGACATATTTCACCATATCACACATGTGTAGTGATACCTTGATATCACAACAGCTCAGTTGGCTGTGTATGAGACAAATATAACCTCAGATGAAGATTTAAGTGTGGTTTGATCTCTTCTAGGGGTGATGCACTGAATAACATGAAACAGGCCTCCAGCATGATGTTCAGTGAATTAACAACCAGAGTTTATATTTAATAGAACAAGGACTGTATCTTTAAAGCTGTGATCAGACTATAAATATTCAGTAGAATAATAAGTACTTGTTTTCACTATTTGTACAATGTTGCTATATTACCCTCTTACCTCAACTTAAGAAGGTTAAAGGGAAAGGGACGTGAAGTAATCACCTTGTGCATCCATGCACAAGAGTGTGTTTATGTGTGATAACCTTGTGTACAATATCTCAGAAACCTCGAAACAGATTTAGTTCTGCTTTACAACATTGCATTACTACAGTAAGGTCTTTAACAGGTGAAATTTTGGTGGTCATTGGTCAAGGTTTAAGGTCAAAATTCACCCTTGACCACTTTGCAAATAAAGAGCTTGTGAACAAGACTGGGTGTGGGAATATATATCTATGTGGGCACCTATTCACTTTGTTTTTGTTTTTCTAAATCAATTAATTAAAATTTTAATTAAATTGAATTAGTTATTTAACTTCATCATATTCTATAAAGAACTGTCAAAATTCATATTGTAACAAAAAAATCACATTTGAATAAGTGTTTTCTTCCACTTTTGTGAAATAGAAGCTGCAGTTGATTGATCCAGCAGATGCTCTCAAGGATTATGGTCTCGCTGAACATCAGCTCCGATTTACCTCCACATTATCATTTGACGAGGAAGGACCAACAACAGGGACTGCTGATAAAATCTACCAACTTGTAAAAAGGTGATGCACTGTCATATACTATGTAACATTAAAGTTTTGTGTGTCCTTTCTTTCGTGGTGAAATCCTAAGATATCATTTCAAGTGTAAGAACACAACCAGGCTGATATCCAGTGGGTTTATTCATGCAATATTTTTGTGAATATGTCACTAGTGTAATTATACCCTGGAGCATTTTTCATTGGTTGGGCCAATCAGAAATTGTGATGTCATAATATGGATAATGACGTCATTTTAAAAACTGAGAGTGATGTAACAAAATGACTGCCTCTGTCTAATTTTGTCAATCACATTCACTTAAAACCCTTTCAAAATGTAACTTTCTAGGTTTAGTGATAAAAAGTATCTTTTTGTTTTCATTTCATGTAAGATTTTATGAAGCTTTAATATTTTTTTCTCCCCAAAGTTTGCCAAAATAAAAACCACAAAATCATAAAATCTTGTGTAAAATAAAACTTTTTTATGATTGACATTCTTTATATGCATTATTTATTCTTTTTATGTTTTATTTGTTGCTTTATATTTTTATTTGTCAGTATTTCCATACAACTTATGTTTTGCTTTTTGAAAACTTTTATGAAATAGTGATAATAATCTTAAACTGTCAAATCCAAGATGGCTGCCTGTCAGCAATTTTGTTTCACTGATCAGTCCAAAAATCAAAACATGATAGTTAGGTAACATGAGAAACCTACAAATGAAATTTGAGAAAGATCCATCCAGTTCTTCTCAAGAAATAGCAATAACAATGTTTCATTGTCAAAATTCAAGATGGTTGCCTGTCAGCCATTTTGAATTTTCTGATCAGTATCAAAATCAATTGGATACAAAAAGAGGCTGAGAGAAATTGCAGCCTGTCAGCCATTTTGTATTTCTCATCAATCCCAAAATCAGAAGGGCACAACCAAGGAGAATGGTCATATGAAATTTTAGATTCAGCCTGTACTTTCAGAGAAATAGTCTTAGAAACAGTCATTGTCAGAATCCAAGATGGCCACCGGTCAGCCATTTTGTTTTTCTGATTATTCTGTAAATCAAAAGAGCACCTCAAGGGACCAAGGGAAACCTTAATGAGAAATTTGAGAAAGATTCAGCCTGATATAGAACAGTGATAACCAGAATAGTGTAATTGAGTAGCCCACCCGTTCATGATGTTTGGCTAAAAATGTGTTTTTCACCTGTTACAGCCAACTGAAGGACTTTCCCACTCATTATTCATCAGACGGAAGTATCACAATTTCCGATTCAGTCCTGGTGCAGGTGTCAGGAGATCAAGAATCAAAGTCAGTGCTAGTGTCATGGTCCTATGAGGTAATTCTTAAGCTTGTCTTGTCTTCTATTAATGTCTCTGTTGTTTTGTATCGGGGAGAGGGATGGGGTTGGGTGGGTTGGGGGAGGGAGGGAGTGTGATGTTATGCAACTTATATGTTGTCTTTTAGGGCAATGAATTAAGTCAATCATTCATCAGAGACCAGGCCCCGCTAGTTAGAGTTAACTAGTGGTTAGTGAAAAATTCACGTTGCTGTCATGGGAAGTACAAGCGTGTTGAAAATGACACTCAAAATATATTGATCTGTCTTGTCACAACAAATATATAGCTATCAAATGATAACTGATGTTTCCAATGTGGATTCTTACCTGAAAATTGTCACTTACCTCTTGTTATCTCTAACCCGCCTTTCAACAAACCGAGGCCTGGTAGCTGAATTGGTAAAGTATCTGTCTAGAACCCACAGGATCCTGGATTCAAACCCTTTGTTTATCTGTGTATTTTTCCACTCCTATTACTGATGTAAAAATGTATTATAGTGATAAAGTTGTATTAATGCATGATTCACACTTGGTTGATGATTTGTTGATAAGAAATGAATTAACTTCTTATAATCCAATATATTTATCAAGGAGTTACAGGAATATTAAATGTTTATCTTTGTGAAGTTTATGGAGTTTGGTGATAAAGTGTTTGTATCTTAAGAATTCAAACAACAGGCAGACTGATCGGTTTATAACCTTTTGCTGGTCTTTTTTCCAGGATGAAGACGTTGGAAGTTATCTATTGCAGTTGCTGAAATCGGAACTAGTTACCTGAAGTTGTCTTATCACATGATATAAAGTGATGTGTTTAAGGAGGCCAACAGGATCTGGTGACACCTTTAGTGTAAAATTTGTGTACTAACAGTGCTAGAACTGAAGGTGGAATGGGAAATAGTTTATTTTGATAAACTTTAAAACAAACTGAGGAGAATGGAATCACATTGATCTGGTCATGGATACTGAATGTCACTTCCTAAATATTGACGTCTTGATGTGTTTATCTGGAAATAATCCCAATAAGAATTTCCTGATGTAAATATAATTATACTGACGTACAGTCTTAATCTTGTTTGTGAGAAAGGGGACCTGTCTGATTGTGAGAATGGGGACCTGTCTGATTGTGAGAATGGGGACCTGTCTGATTGTGAGATTGGGGACCTGTCTGATTGTGAGAATGGGGACCTGTCTGATTGTGAGAATGGGGACCTGTCTGATTGTGAGAATGGGGACCTGTCTGATTGTGAGATTGGGGACCTGTCTGATTGTGAGAATGGGGACCTGTCTGATTGTGAGATTGGGGACCTGTCTGATTGTGAGATTGGGGACCTGTCTGATTGTGAGATTGGGGACCTGTCTGATTGTGAGATTGGGGACCTGTCTGATTGTGAGATTGGGGACCAGTCTGATTGTGAGAATAGGGACTTGCCTGAAAAGCTAATGTTGTGTTAATCCAGACAGATTTATTTCAGGAGAGTATTTCCATAACCTGAATTTCCCATTGTAAGTGGTGCTTTATATCCCAGAATTTTTACTGAGGATGCTGATGGTATCCATACACAGCCTGTCACATCACATCGTATAGTGATGTCATCAGTGACTCTTAATTGTGATGTCATTTCCTGAAGGATTGGATTAGGTTGTGTCAGGGTTCAAAGGTCAAAATAACCATTACTATTAATAAAGAAATAATAAATTTGAATGGAAACAGGGAATTTATGTCTAACATGCTTTCTCTAGTTTTCAAGAAAATGTCTTTCGCATAAAAATCTTGAGTATTTATATCATATAACACATTTTGTGATATACATCAATGTTTTGCTATATTTTCATCAAATTCTAGATGTGGACATTGTAAAGTGTAAAATACATATTCAGATCTAGATGTTCTATAAAGATGGTAAATTTCTCAGGTCAAAAGTTTTGTGAATTTCTTTTAAAGTGAAAAAATCATATTTCAAGGAATTAAATTTCATGATGTGTATATAAAATAAATACAAATGTCTCAATATTCCATGGGTTTGATTTTTGTGATCACCTTAATGTACAGTGAAACAGCAACAACGTCATCCCATCACATTTTTTATATGGTATGTCTTTTCATTATCGATTGTACATCTAACAGCATTATGACAATTAGATAAAACAAATTGACTGTGTATACTGACTTTCTGTGTCATAGAGCAATGTATTATACTTGGATATTGGTGTATACCAAACATTCAATATGTTTTTTTCTGATTTTGACCAGAGTATGACAAATAATTGATACCAAAGAAATCATATCATTAGATAATTGTACAAAATCACAATTTAGGAGTTGCAAAGATAAAAAATAAACTAGTTGAAAAAGTGATTGTTTAAACAATTCTTACAAGTAGACAAGACGGATGAGTTTCTGTTGTATTCGTAGGTATTCTACCTCCATCCACAGAGTTGTCTCCCCTTTTACCTGTTAATTTTTTTTTTATTGTTTCCCTTGTTCTACTATAGGAACGTGACATGACTTACTTGGATTGATCAAGATTTACGTTGTAGTTGTCATCCGTGATGAAGAAAATATTTACCCATTTGTTAAAAACCTAGTCATGTTCTCCGTGTACTTTTTAAGATATGCAACCATGGAATCAACACGCAAAGTAACGGGCATCTCGTCCAACTTTATATCGCAAAAAGAAATACAATATTTCTCTACACCATAGGTTTGGAACGTTCTTCTGTATGTTGCTATCCAGAAGTGAGCACAATAGGGAAATTGAAATCATCATGCTTATCATACAGCTTCTATGAAAGCTGTACATGTTGGTTTCATTGTAGTAAGAGATCGAGATAGGCAGCTGATGTAGAAGAGTTGGTTGTAACTTTGATTTCCAATCAGATGGGTATATACAATGGACGTGGTCGATAAATTTCTTGTTATTTTAAGACAAAACAAATATATCTGAAACAGATATTGCAGGATTTCACAAGGTCTTTATGACCTGTTGTGACAACCTCTCAGAAAAAATTCAGCTTCATGAAAATAAAAAATGAGAAAGCCAACAGAGACACACAGCTGGGTATGCCAATAGTCTGTCGAAAGATCTTGTCACCTAATTCGGCGAAGATGTCGTATGATTCAATTTATTTCATTGTATGGCCATACTCCAATTCCTACACACACCTCATACAGTGCTGCTCATTTGTGTATCATTTATACATATGTAAAAATTAGAGTTTTAGACCATCATCATTAGATGGTACGTCCGTGGTCTGTGGTCCAACTGTCCGTCTGTGAATAACTTTTGTAACCACTATTTATTGAGAAGTATTGGATGGATTTTTCTCAAATTTCGTATGTAGGTTCCTCTTAGTCACTAGTTGTTTGGTACTGATCATAAAAAAATGGCCGGCAGTCAGCCATCTTGAATTTTGCCTAGTAAAGATTGTTATCCCTATTTCTTAAGAAGTGATGAATGAATCTCTCTCAAATTTCATAGGCGTGTTCGCTGTAGTCTTCACTTGTGCCAGTTTGATTTTAGGACTGATCAGATGAAATAAAATAAGGTGACCATTTTTGGATTTAGCAGATAATTTCGCTATTTCTGCCAAGGAATGTTCAAATTTCTTTTCATTACAAGCAAAACCAGAGAATAGAAACGAAGGAAAAATGTCAAACTTTCAAAGAGCAAAAAAAGATCAAACAATGGCGGGTGCCAAGATCTTTTTGGTTGTGATTGTTTTACGCCTGACTTTCATGGTCTCTTCCATTAGATATTTTATTAGGTGTTTTCCTCTTCTTTGAAAGAAAAATGCTAACCAGGAAGCAAATTGTTGGAGGTAAACTGGAAATTTGGGGATTTATGAAGAAAAACTGGATAATTTCATTAGGGAATGGTGTTCTGTATTGACCAAGGAAACGCCATAGAAGGAGCTTCCTGCAATAATCATATCTGTTAACTATCCGACATCTTGATGTGTGCCTTTTTCATTGAAGCATTTCAGAGATTACGTTGGGATTAAATAATTGTCTGTGTTATTGCTTGCATGGATCGGTGAAGGCAAATGAAGTGAATTACAGAAGACATGTACATCAATGCTACAAAGACTTACAATATTTTGTCATTTCATCCAAGACAAAAACAAACAACCCATTTTTTCATTAAGAAATGATTTGATCAAAGTTAACATTTTATTGAGGTGGAGCGAAGTCAAAATTGTGAATTTTTGAGACAATTAAAAAAAATGATGACAAATGCCAAGAGAAACATATCTAGGAAACTTGATGTAAAATAAAAACCCCTGAACAGCTGAAACAACTTTATGATGATGGTGTATTTTTCTTACTGCGCTATTTGATGTTTTCTCATTAGCATTTGATCAACATAAAACTCAACAACAAGTGTATTGGATAATCCAACATTAATTCTTTTATGCTATAACCTCATTTTTATGTTTCTTTAAGGCTGCATCCCTCCATAAAGTCAGTGAAGCCGATTTTAAGTTAATATTAATTCCTGATAATATTCAGCTATTGATACGGTGTATAATTACAAAGCAGAGACGGACAGCAATATCCGGATTAATTATGAGAGGACCAACTGCATGTCATAAAACTAGCTAATAACATAAATTAAGTATAAGAATTTCTTTTTATAGCGAAATATGATAAGAAATAGGAAGGAGGACTTATATTGTATGAAGGACATAGATTTAGATACAACAGAGCTAAACAATGATCGGAGTGAAATGTCAAACTTAGGTGGCGACTGTCGAAAATCTAAGTCCGCCAACAGTGTCTATCACATGATATCTCAAAGATTGAAAGATTTTACAAAGACACTCAAGAGAAAAGAACCATTCGACACGAATTAAGATCCAAAAATGATCAGTGATGGTAAGTGTGAATGTTGAAGATTGGACGAAAGACACACAAGTGAATAGCACCTTAATAACTTAAAGTTAGATTCAGTAGAAACAAACAATTCAACTACATCATACAGTTGTTTCACCCTTCTAGGACTTGTCAATTATCAGTAAGTTATTTCATTATTTGGCCATACTCGAATCCTTTTAATTGAAAGGTTCCAAATGTATACAATTGTGTGTCATTTAGGATATCTGTGAAAATCAGATTTTTTAGTGTTTTTGTCAGCCCTTTTTTCAGAGGTAAATATTTCTTTAATTTATATTTTGCCATATTTTTATTTAATTTGAGTTTTTGATTATGATTATATTTACACCATGGTGTTTTCTTGTTTCTGATATTTTCAGAACAACATCAAGGAAATGATGTAAAATGCAGATTTCACTAGCGATGTCGACCATCTGCAACCTCGAAATTACTTTAAATATCCCAGTTGTTTAATTCCCCATCTACCTCCATTTCTCCTCATTACGACATTTGTTTTAAGCGGAATTTTTCACAAATGATTCTTCCATCCTATCACAGTTATTTGATTATTTCGGTTTTTGAAGGAAGTTATTTCAGGCAATTTATTCTTTCAACCCTTGACAACACTTGTTTCTAGAAGGAAACTATTACAATTAATTGAAGATTTTATCCTTTTTTTTTGTGTTTACAAAGGAAATTTATCTAAATTGTCTCATAATTCCACTCATTGCCCGGCGGTTATGGAAGGAAATGATTACAGTTAGCCGATTCTTTCATCCTTAACTCCCTTTTCTGGCAGGAAATAACCAGTTGTTCTATTTTCGGCTTTGATATTCGTTTTGAGGATGAACTATTCTTCGTTTGACATTTGTAATGTGTGTGGTGTGTGTGTCTGAATGAGGTGTGTGTGTAAGGTATGTGTAAGGTGTGTGTGGTGTGTGTGAGCTGTGTGTGTGAGGTGTGTGTGAGCTGTGTGTGTGAGGTGTGTGTAAAGTATGTGTGAGGTGTGTGTAAGGTGTGTGTGAGCTGTGTGTGTGATGTGTGTGTAAGGTGTGTGTGAGCTGTGTGAGGTGTGTGTGGTGTGTGTAAGGTATGTGTGAGGTGTGTGTGTAAGGTATGTGTGAGGTGTGTGTGAGGTGTGTGTGAGGGTGTGTGTGAAGTGTGTGTGAGGGTGTGTGTGAAGTGTGTGAGAGATTGTGTGTGGGTGTGTGTGCGGTGTGTGTGTGTGAGGGTGTGTGTGAGGTGTGTGTGAGGTGTGTGTGTGTGTGTGTGTGATGTGTGTGAGTGTGTGTGAGGTGTGTGTGAGGTATGTGTGAGGTGTGTGTGAGGTGTGTGTGAGGTGTGTGTGAGGTGTGTGTGAGGTGTGTGTGAGGTGTGTGTGAGGTGTGTGTGAGGTTGTGTGTGAGGTGTGTGTGAGGTGTGTGTGAGCTGTGTGTGTGAGGTGTGTGTAAGGTGTGTGTGTGAGGGTGTGTTTGAGGTGTGTGTAAGATGTGTGTGAGGTTGTGTGTGAGGTGTGTGTGGTGTGTGTGAGGTGTTTGCGGTGTGTGTGAGGTGTGTGTGTGTGGTGTATGTGATGTGTGTGTGAGTTGTGTGAGAGTGTGTGAGGTGTGTGGGAGGGTGTGTGTGAAGTGTGTGTGAGGTGTGTGTGAGGTGTGTGTGTGATGTTGTGTGTGATGGTGGGTGAGGTTTGTGTGAGGTGTGTATGAGGTGTGTGTGAAGTGTGTGTGGTGTGTGAGGTGTGTATGAGGGTGTGTGTGAGGTGTGTGTGAGGTGTGTTTGTGAGGTGAGTGAGGTGTGTTAGGTTTGTGTGAGGAGAGAGAGAGTGTGTGTGAGAGTGTGTGAGGTGTAGAGAGAGGTGTGTGAGGTGTGTGAGAGAGTGTGTGTGTGTGTGTGTGTGAGAGAGAGCGCGCGAGAGAGAGAGAGAGAGCGGAGAGAGAGAGAGAGAGAGAGAGAGAGAGAGAGAGAGAGAGAGAGAGAGAGAGAGAGAGAGAGAGAGAGAGAGAGAGAGAGAGAGAGAGAGAGAGAGAGAGAGAGAGAGAGAGAGAGAGAGAGAGAGAGAGAGAGAGAGAGAGAGGGGGGGGGGGGAGAGAGAGA